GCCAAGGACTTTGGTCAGTGTCACTGCACTCAGAAGCATGCTGGTTTGACAAGTGTAGATTGGTCTGAAACTGCATTCTACAATGAGAATCTAGCTGTTTCGATCGTTCGTGGTGCTTTGGACGCATTGAGAAATGATGGATAGTTTTTGTTGTTGCTGTTGTGAATTGGTGATGACAGGAATCTTGATTCGATTTTGTTTTCGAACTTGAGCTGACGAAATAAAGTTTGATCTGAAACGATCGTGCACTGAAACTTTGAAACTGATCTCAATGCGAAGCATGGGACATGTTTTGGACTTGATGCAAACTGTTTTGAACTTGTCTGAAACTGACTGGACTTGACGTGCGTTGCAGTCTGAAAGGTTTAAGATCTTTGACTGGCACATGTATAGTTTGAGGTATGTGTATCTGGTATGTGGGCGGGCCTTGAAGGTCTGTGTGGGTGCCAGGTAGGCAGGTCTCGTCCTTTCTTACGTTTCTCAGACCTTGCTCTGGTAGCTATTGTGGAGATCTGTTTGGATTCTTGGCTTAGGCTTTGTGTTGTTTCGGATTCTGAGTAGCGCCTGAGTAAGATTTGTGTTTTACAATCATCTCTTGCTGAAGCCATGGCTGTGTCTAAGAATGCAGCTGGATATAGTGGTTTGACAGAAGATGAGGAGAAGCAGTTGAAAGCACTGTTGAATAAGGCTCAGCAGGCTCCGAAGGCGTCTGGTGGATCAGCAATGACTGATGCTTCCAAGCGTTTGAGGGGAGAGAGTGATTCAGACTTTGAAGCAGTTGGATCTCCAACTACTCCAAGTGAGCTCTTCCGAAGTGAAGATCGCAAGGAGGTTCCATTGCCAAAGAATTGCACTCTGAAGGAGTGGTCTCACACGGTGTGCCAGCTTCCAAAAGTCAATGGTGAGCCGAAGTGGATCGGAAAGACTTATTCTGAACTGCTGAGGATGGCTATTGACGGTGACATTGAGCTGGACAAGTATCTGGGATTCATTTTGAAGAAGTATCATGGGTCCTATGATGGAACTCACAGGTCTCAAGCCGTGGACTTGACTGGGTTTCTTCTCTATATGGAGTTTGATCCTGAGAGAGAGCCAGCTGGTTCTTGGAAGAGAGTGATTAAGCCGTGATCTCAATGTGACTCCGGTCATCAATACATTGGCTTTGCGATTCTGACTGTCCTGAAAGGGGCCGAATTTATTGGAAGAGTCTGTGTATTGCGACATGGAAATCTGGCTTTGGTTGCAATTTCTGTTAGACACTACGTGTCGCTTTGGGTTTTTTGCAGTCTAGCTGGAAGAGAAGGTGATCATTGTGGCTCCGGCCATCAATCTTTGATACAGGAGACTTCCTTTCTGTTAGACACTGAAGACTTTCGAGTGGGATGTGTCGCTTTGGGTTTGGAAGCAGCACGCCGAAAGGGGGTGTGAATATATGATATTAGACCGTCGTGCTTCTTCACGATGTACGCTGGGATTAGACTGTTATGCACCTCTATTTGGTACAATGGTTCATTGGATGCTACTTCTATGATACTGCATTTGACTTCGGTATTCATTGAGATTCTGCACTTTTGATGAGCTGAGAATGTTCTAGAATGGACGGTATTTCATTGGATGCTATTTCGGTGACATTGCGTTTTGACCACTGTCTTTGCTGGAATTTGCGTTTTCGATGAGACGAGAGTGTTTTCGAGCTTTAGGGATTTAGCCGATTTGACCACAGTTTGTTTGGAACGATTTTGGAAACATTTCAACATTTTCGGAAACGTTCGGAACATTTGAGAAGTATTTCAAACACTTTTGGACCATTTGGAGATGATTTGACATCACGAAGTTGTTCGTCAAATCATGCTGTAAAGGTTTCTCTGAGTATCATCATTGGATGATATGGAAACGGCAAGTTTTGGTGCAACCAGTTTTGTCGATGTTGTTAGCCAACAACATCGCCTGTGGTGCTAAGGTGCTATGGGTGGTTGATTCTTTATTATCCCGTTTGGGGTTTCTCCTCGATGATGACAAAACACCCCGGCGTTATGCCACTGTCGGCAGGTGAAAAGGGGTAAGTCTGAGGGGAGAAACCACAAACTTTGGTTTGTTGGTTTCTTGCCTCTGGTTTGTGTTTGGATTGGTTAAATCAACCACTTATGGTACTAACTAGCTACACGATAGGTCGGAATCATTGATTGTTGCGTAGGACGTTGTCTGAAACAACTTTGATCTGGAATCCGCAGTTGGTACAGCAGTCTTTTGGTTTTGAGAAGTCCGTGTGACTTTGTGTTGCTCAACCAGAGAGTGGCTCGAGTAACAAGAGAATTTAAGACACTTGGTTTTGTGCCTTGTGTGACCTGTTTGTTGACGGCGCCAAAAGAATTTGGAACTCGCTGAGCTGAGTTGAGGGTTCATTAAGATTTTTTACAACTTTTCATCACAACTCATCACAACTTGTCACATCCCCACTCATCACAGCTCCACTTTTCACACTACTTCTCACACCTCACTTATCACATCAGAACTCATCACAGCTCCACTTCTGAAGGGGAGGCTTGGGGTGCTTAACAGCTTGAAGGCGGGCTTCAAGGGAGGGCTTCAAGGGGAGGCTTCAAGGGGGGCTTTAAGGGGGGCTTCAACGGGGTGCTTAACGGGAGCTTAAGGGAGGGCTTAAGGGAGGGGCTTAAGGGGAAGCTTAAGGAGAGACTTCAAGGGTGAGCTTAAGCGGGGGCTTAAGGGGAGGCTTAAGAGGAGGCTTAAGGGGGGGGCTTAAGGGGGGGGCTTAAGGGGTGCTTCAAGGGGGGGCTTAAGGGTGGTGGTAGTAGTAGTAGTAGTAGGAGGAGGAGGAGGAGGAGTAGTGCTACCCCTTGGCCCCTTGAAGCTTCCCTTGAAGCCCCCCTTGAAGCCCCGCCTTAAGCCTCCTCTTAAGCCTCCCCTTAAGCCCCCCCTTAAGCCCCCCCTTACCCCCTTAAGCCCCCCCTTACCCCCTTAAGCCTCCCCTTAAGCCCCTCCCTTAAGCTCCCCCTCAAAGGCTTCCACCCTTCAAGGGAGGGGGGAAGGGGGGGCACCCTTCATGACCCCCTAAGCGCCCCCTTAACCCCCCCCCTTCAAGCCCTCCTTCGACGAAGGGGGTGGGCCCGCCCTCCGGCCTTTGCTGTTGATTTTGCAATTTTGCGGTTTTATTTTTGGCAGACGGTCCCAAAAATGGGACCGTGAAAGTGCTTTTCTTTTATTCTTTTACTAAGGCGGTTCCATTTTTGGAACTGTGTTCAGGTTCATTTCTGTTTTTTTTATCACGGTTGCAGAAGCGCACTGTTCCGGTTTCAATGAAGCTGTGTGGCTTATGGCGACCGGAAGGGCAACTCTAGTTCTTTCTTGCTCTTTCAGCCTTTGGATGACTCTTGTCTCTTCGACCGCTTCAAGATTGGTTTGCCTTCAAACGGTTCTTCTTGCTCGCTCCTCACAGTAGTGACCCTTCAGCCACCGCTGGGTTCGGTGCGCGCATATTGAGCCCACTAGTAAGGGTAAAGGAAAAGATGGCAAAGGAAAGGAGGGTAAGAAGGGCAAAGGAAAAAAACAAAAGGGAAAGCAAAGATAGCCACAGCAGCGAAAAGAGTGGCAAAGCAGTGACAGCCAAGACAGATGCGCCATCTGCTGGAAGACAGGCCATACGACAGAGCGACGCAATATAAGCAGCAGAAAAGTGTTGGTAAGATCGGCGAACACCGACTTCTCATGGTCAAGGCAGTTTTCGATGGCAACAATGGTCCAGTTGTTTTGGTCGAAGCATCTGGACATGCTGCCTATCGATATGTATTTTGGAGATTGCATTTTCGTGACGTTCAATGTTGCCATCTTCACTTCTATATCTACCATCTTCAGAGGATTCCTGAGCTGGGAGAATCTGTTTGAAGCCGTTTTGAGAACGTTTGAGATGTTTCGAAGGGTTTTCGATTTTTGAAATGTTTTTGCAAGGGTTTTGCGTTGGGCGATGTAGAGTTTATGCATGCGTTCATCATGAGGTCGTTAACCTTTGGACCCAAAATACTTTTGGGTTTTCTCCCAGATGATGTCCAAGGCCATCATTTGTCTGAAGGTCTAGAGTGCCTTTGTTGAACTCTGGGATGGCGACTGATGGGAGGAAAACTTACCTTTAGGGGTTTTACTTGGTGACATCCACCTTCGCTTTGCATGGGTGGCACTTGGCGACATCCACCTTCGTTTTGCATGGCAGGCATGGCACTTAGGGCACTGGGCTGGCTTTGGTGGCGCGCTTGGACCGGATTAGTAGTCGCCGGTGACGCCGCGGCACTTTGCGTGGCAGGCGTGGCACTTGGCGACACGCCACCAGAGCCAGCCCAGTGCCTTAAGTACCACACCTGCCACGCAAAACGAAGGTGGATGTCGCCAAGTGCCAGGCTTGCCATGCAAAACGAAGGTGGATGTCACTAAGTGCCACGCCTGCCACGTGAAACGAAGGTATATGTCACTAAGTGCCATGTTTGCCACGTGAAACGAAGACACATGTCACCAAGTGCCACGCCTGCCACGCAAAGTGACGCGGCGACACCGGCGACTAATCCGGTCCAAGCGCGCCACCAGAGCCAGCCCAGCCCTAAGTGCCACGCCTGCCACGCAAAAGGAAGGTGGATGTCACCAAGTGCCAGGCCTGCCACGCAAAACGCAGGTGGATGTCTCCAAGTGCGGGACAAAGAGGAGGCGGCGGAGGAGGAGGAGGAGGCGGAGAGGAGGAGGAGGAGCCGGGATACAGAATCAAAGACAAGAACCCCACACAAAAATTTGTGGAACAAGGTATAGTTTCATGATGAAAAACCTGAAACCTGTGAAATGATTGGACCAAACTTGTACTATTCATCCTGGCAAAAGCAGAGGCTCAACAGGAACTTTATCCGAATGATAGCAGCAAAAATCAAAAACAAAACGCATGCAGACAGTAAATTTTGTCGCAAACTCAAAATTCTAGCGAGCGCCTTTTTTGCTGACTGCGCCGGTTTTTCTGCTGCCTTGAGTGCGTTGGGACGTTGAGGACGGATAGTAAGGGGTTGCATCTGAGTGGAAAAGGTGAAGGAACATTGTTCAAATCAGTGTGTGGTTTTGTTTGTTCCTATGTAGGATTAATTGAAGGTAACTTCCACAGGACACCCCCTGTCTTTGGGTTCCTGAGATTTTCTGAAACATTCCAGTCTGTTGATTTTTAGAAATACCAATCAAGTCATTATAAAATCTCAAGACTTTGCACCCAGGCGTAGCTTTCGTCAGTCTATTCACAATCAACATTTGATGTTTTGTTGAAATGGGGGACCCTAACATCAAACATCGGTGATTTACGTAATTTTGAATGGGGAAAATGGGGAAACCAAACCCTTGGAGTGTTCGGATTTTAAGAAACGCCTTTTTCCGCGGAACAAAGCGGAATCCCATCTCCACAACCAACAGCATCTCAGGGGAACTACAAGGGGGGAATCATCATATTTGAGTGGTGGGCAAACATAGGGGTTTGTCGTGAAGTTCAAGCAAGAGATCATGTTATCACTTCATACTGTCTTTGGAATGTATTTTCAATTTGGAGGTTTCCTAAAATGAGGTACACCTAAATCATCCATTTTATTTTATGAATTCCAGTATAAAACATCCATTAAAAGGGGTACCCCCATTTTAGGACACCCCCATTTGAAAGGACCAACCATCGCAGGAAATCCAATTACTGACGACGTGTGCAATCAACCATTGATGGTGACCTTGTCGCTAGTAAGTTGGATAACAGCACACTGCCACGCAACGTGATTTCATGAGTTGCTTGAAGATTTTGTTTCTCCAATCTTATTGAACTTAGTTATCCCTTCCCCCTAATATATCTAATATTAAACAACCCACCCCAGAAACCATGATTTAGAAGGGGGATTTACACATATCTGGGACCATTTCGGGTTTCCAATATGGGTAGTGGCCAGCCCATTCGCAGGATTTCCTGCCAAAAAGAGCGACCCATGACGGGTTTTGGGGCAGACCCTTGGTCGCTGGGCTGGAAAATATCCCGTTACCTTTCTATGTGGATGGGTTGATTCAGGGAATTCTACTGTTATGCCTATGTGGTTTCTTGGGTTATGCCTATGTGGTTTCTTGGGGCTGATGAAGAAAACTCATGTCTTTTAGAATAGCAATTGAGCGGCCAACCTATTAGGTCGCCCTTTGTGTAATAGGGGCCCTGTTAGCACCTAGCATTGGTTGAAGAATGGTCATTTAATCAATGAAGATAATGAAATTAGCCTCCTCAAAGACGGCTTGCGAAAATCCAGCATTGATGATGTTCCCAGCGAACTCAACCTTCAGTTCAGGGATTTTCCAGCCACGTTTGAGTACCAGAGGGTATGAGGGGCATGAAACCAACCATTGGTTGGAATATGACCTTATACTTTGTTGATTATAATTATAATTATAACTAATCATAACTTATAACTTGTGGGGAATCCCCCACATAACAGTGAACATATAATAAAGGTTTTGATATATGTTAATATGATGGGATCTGGATGAGTTGTATATCAACCTCACAGCGATCTCTCTGTAATGATGGTTAATAAGGGAAATAACACCAGTGTGAGCCTTACTCCAGGTTAGTGAGCCTATTGCAATGTATCCAGATGGGATGTAATGAGATATGATGAGATAAACTATTCCTATTCACCAACCATTTGGAGATAATTTTACAACATCCCATAGTGCTTCCAATTGGGGGCGGTTTATTATTCACCAAACAGCTACCAGCTGATGGGGTTCTCAATTCTTGGGAAGAAACGGAGATTGTTCCATCATGATTTTCTTCCTGTCACTTCCTGTCGTCTCCCTCATGTGGAGGTTTCCTAAGTCATGGGGCTACCCCTCAATCACCTACTTTTTTCAATTACAAACCATCCATTTGGCGGTAGTCCCATGACTATGGAAACCCCCATGTCTCCCTTTGTCCCCTTCCTTCTTCCTTCCTCCAGGGATCCTGTTGCATCATGATTCTCCATATTAACTACTTGTCTCGCACTTGTCTCCCACTTGTCTCCACTATTTTTTCTTTGTCTAATCTGTAAACTTACTGGTGCGTTTTACGTAGGGAATGGATGGGTTGCTGGGGGTTGCTGGGGGTTGCTGGGATTTTTTTGATAGTTATTATGGATCATTCCCTCATTCCCTGCTAAGCACCAGTAAGTAAAGGGATCATGTTCAGCAATCGGGATGTACAATTGCCATAGGCCAACATTCCAACATTGGTGATCCGTCACCATGGATTGTTTCACGGCGAAGTGATGAGAATCCAGGGATTTCTGATCGATTGAAATCAGATCGAAATTAGATTCGGATTAGGGAATCTGGAATCTGTTTTTCAGATCCAGATGTGATTTTTTCGGAAGCCAATTTTCACGAGTCAATTCTGCGCGGCCAGATTCCCCAAGGTATGCGATGCAGCTTCCATATCAGTGGGACTTCAGTCCCTTTGAGGACTTAAGGAGTCTTCGGCACCAAACATTGCTTGGATCCCTACTGTTTGCAACAATTTTGAGCTTAAAAAACGGCTGGATTTCCTTTTATTGTGAACACCAAGCAGCTACAAAGAGATCACCTGAGGGCTGCCATTGAGACGTTGCGCGGCAAGATTCACGGCATTGATGCGAGAGAGTTGCAACAGAAAGATAGCTGCTGGGCGATTTTTTCGACAGTGGGGTATCTACCGATAGATCAACTTGGGATTAAACCGTTGAGTTCAACTTGACCATTACTATTAAACCATCAAGTCTTTGGGTTGATGATGATTGTGAAGCATGGACATGGGCGGAACTTTGATGGCCACGACAATTAGGGACGTAAGGAAGAATTTGGCATAGATTTTGAACGGCGGTTCTGGTTGGCTTTGGTTTTAGCAAGGGGGTCTTATTTCGAACTGCTCCCATCTGTGTTTGTTGCTGCAGCACAGTAGCTCAACACTTCAAAAGGCCCAAAGGAACTTTGTCGGTAAGTATGACTAATGACGCCGTTGATATTGCATCAAAAGCAATGGGAGGCCCTGAACAACAAAACTTAAACGTGTTGGGAAATTTCCTCATTGGCTGATGGCTTCAAATGAATCGTAAATCCACCATTTTGGACAAGGCCGTTATATGTTGAATTTGCAATGCCAAAGCACACATCTATATAATCACCATAAATGCGTGTCTATACGTTCACCACATACCATAGCAGAGGTGCTGGAACCTGTCCAAAAAGGCTGCCTTGTTTTCAAAGGGGCTACTGTAAGCTGACCGACGGATGGGAGGTGTGAAGACAGAGTGTGCAAGGAAAATTATGTCATCGCGCAGGTTGAGTCTTAAAGGGAACCCGTGGCACAGATATAGACAACTCAGCTATGCAATGTCTCCACAAACAACAACTGAGAGGATGCAGCGGAACACAAATCCTCAACAAACCTTTTGCGTCTATGCCATTCCAGAAAAACAGAAGGATATCAGCCGAACAAGGCCTTTGCTATCGATAACGTACTGATGCAACCCCGTTTGTCAGGACGGGCATCTAGTTTTTCAACTGGGTTATGCCATCAGGACGCGCGGATGGGAGTCATGCGAAAAGAAGCAGCGCACGAAACATTCTTATCAAAAACCCTGGAGCAAATACAAAGGACTGTAGTTTGCAATTCTTTCCGGTCTGACACCGAAAGGTACATTCTAGCACCAGCAACTTCGCGTTTCACAATAAAGGATGTAAGGCGCAAGTTTCGGACGATTCCACCATAAAGGTTGGTATTTTGGACCGTTGTCGTTGTTGTCGTTGTTGTCGTTGTTGTCGTTGTTGTCGTTGTTGTCGTTGTTGTCGTTGTTGTCGTTGTTGTCGTTGTTGTCGTTGTCGTCGTTGTTGTCGTTGTCGTGGTCGTCGTTGTCGTCGTTGTCGTCGTCGTCGTTGTCGTTGTTGTCGTTGCGTTGTCGTTGTCGTTCTGGTTGTTGTGGTTGTTGTGGTTGTTGTTGTTGTTGTTGTTGTTGTTGTTGTTTGTTGTTGTTTTTTTCCTTCCCAAAATCATTTTGACACAAAAGATACCTCTTCGCACCGTGTTGAATAAACACATTCAACTGCTCGAAATGCCTGTGCAGCACCAGCATCTCAACATCTCCAAACACAAAAACCCTGTAAAACAAAACCTTTTTGCCTTTTGCTTGTCAAGGGAATCAAACCATCAGGTCGAAAAAGTCGGTTTTTGGACTATCATACTACGTCCGGTGAGCCCGGTGAGCCCTGTGCGAGGGGGAACATGCCGAAACCGCACGCCTGGTCCGCCGCGTAGCAGCGTAGCTGGGTTGCTGCTGGTTGGTTTGGGTAGGAATTCTCAGCATGGAACACAGCTGAGGTAATTCGAAAACCAAATGAACAGTTCTGTGATTAGGATTCGCTGCCAAAAAAAGGGCCAAAAGGAAGTAGGCATGGATGGTTGACTCACGAAACTATTAGTTTTGACAACCCAAATGGCAGTCGAACCAAAAAACATTGGGCCTACGCCTACATCAGGCACATTGGAACATCCATACAAAGTTTGAAAATGGAGTGGTTGCAATTTGCTCAAGGATTTTGTACGTGCGGAAAGTCTCCCAGAATTTTCAAGACCAGTGGATTTGACTCTGAGGCTGGGTAAAGATCGTGAAGGATTGTGAAAAACCGCTGAAATCGGCCGTCGCGAGCTGCCTGGACTGGTGGCGAATGTCAGGCTATGAGTTCCTGGTGTACATTACGAAGTTCAGTGAATGGAAGAAATTCGCCAAAGACATCGGAAAGGAACAGATGCGGGCACTCTTTGGCATGTCTCAGTCGCATGGTCAGAAACGCGACCAGGGGATTGGGGATTGGCTTGGCTCGGTGTTCCCTTTTGAATTGATGTGGTAAATCCAATGCCATAAATCATCCCCAAGTCATCACCATTGTTATGGGTGCAAAAAAAACCATCCCCATGGTAGGTTTATGACAGTTTCTCACATTGTTTTCTATTTTTTTCCGGGGTGGGTTAATGTCCTTTTTTTCCGCATCATCCAGCTCTTTGGAAGAGACATTTAAACGTGATGTTCAAAATCACCAAATGTCATATTGCCAAACTCAGTATTTTTTGGATCTTAAACCGCTGAACTGTTTCGGCGGAGGTTTGCATATGTTGGAAATCCTGAGGATCGCAAGATCGCATCATGGATTGTGTACCCAAACTTGACCCAAGGGGGCCCCAAGATATATAAACATCCACTATCAACAAGCTAAATTAAGATGATTTTCCAACTTTTTGGGATGGTCCAGTTTGAAACTCTCTCTCCCTCTCTATCAACTCTAGGACGAGCTTAATCTGTCATGAATATTCTACAAGACAAAGGTTTTCGATTTTGAATGGTTCCAGGCACCACGATGGGAAACTCAGGGCCAGTGATTTTTCACAGTGAGACACCGAATTTTTGCCTTGCAAAGCGACGATGGGAAGCCAGGTCCCATCGGGGTTCACCGGGATTCGACTTTCATCACCGAAGAGTTTATGCCAGCGCCGCCGTTGTTTGGCATTCTTGGGGTTGGGGTGGTGGTGAGGTGGGGGGCGCTTTACAAAGTTCTGAAAATCGACGTCTTCATTGACTTGCACAGCAAGTTGACGCTACGCTACAAGATCTTCTCTTGGACTTGACAGCAACTTGCAGAGCAACTTGACGCTACGCTACAAGATCTTCTCTAACAAAAGACCTTGGCCACCAAGGCAAAAGAAGGCCATTTCAACCAATCCCTTTGGGACTGGACATACAGTTGGCAGTGGCGCTTCAATGTTGCCAAGGATTGGTGGTCTGCAGTGCCACAAGTGATGGAACACTTGAAAGAAGTTGTTTGACCAGCAGCACAGACCGCAGAGAAAGGAGAAGTGAGTTGGCATGACCATATTGTTCATGCTTACAGAGAACTGTTGGTTGAAGACCAAAGTGAAAACGTCCCGCGTCCGGGCGCGTTGGATTGTTTATGGGGATGTTCCTTTGTGGCTTTGTCCCCTAGATACATCCCGGAAATCAACCACATCAATCATTTCCGGATGTGATTGTCATTTTGGAGGTATACCCGCAGGTTTCAGACACGTTTCTTCTCTCAGCAGTGCCTCCTCCTAAGGAAGCCGTTCTTTCAGAGGGTGCTGGATCCGGAAAATCCCAACGATAAATCGGCGATCGAGGCAAGGGTTGAGTCCCCGAGCCCCAAAAAACCGAGACATGATCTCCTTGGCTCGTGACTAGTTTGCGGATTTGAACACTGGGAGTGCCCTTTTTTTTGGATCAAAGAACAACTGAAATCATTTTTTGCAACATAAATTCACCACCCTTGATTTTTTGGCATCCCAAAAATTGTGGATGATCATTTTTTGTTTTCGAACAAAAATGTAATTTTCGGATCTCGACATTTTCCCCTGTGCAGGAACATAACAACAAGAAGGCGGGCCAACATTGATCCGAAGGGGTCGGCACGACATCCCCAAACTTGAAGAGGTCGTTTAATCGTTTCGATTTTTGCTATACATGGAAAAACACATAACCAGCAAAGGATGTGTTTTTGTGAACTGCCAAAGATTGACTATGGATAAAGGATGGAGGTGGGACAAATTTTTACAGCACATTTTTCTTAAATTTATATCAGGGAAAGTATATTGGCTAAAGTGGAATGATTGTCTGTTTGAAATGGACATGGACAGTTCTTCCTAAAAAGGAAAAATCGGGGATATCACATCTACTTCAGGATGGTTGCATTTAGAAATGGATTTGGACCTTACTTGCGCCCCAGACTTCCCAACATAGTTCTGTGTTTAATGGTGAACGGGATGCAGTAGTGGACGAAGGAGGCCATTTGGTAGTGAATGTCTCAATGGGTGGGTGGCCCAAAATCATTTTGCCTACTTGTCGTGCTATTTCCGAACGGGCAATCCATTCGTCACAGGGATCAAATAGTTTCACAGAGTGCCAATCTTTGATAGTTTTTGAGTATCTTCGACTTGAGATGTTTTGCGTGCTTCGATTGGAAAAATCTCAGACATCAATTGTAGATATTTAGTAGATATCTGTCGATATCTATCTCTGAACAAGCGATGAATTTCATATATTTCATGTTGGTGCTACATTGAGTCACCATAACTAGAACTTGGAACGACTATGGCTGGCTTGGAAATCACCGATCAATATGGAGGTTTAGTTCGCTGGAAACATCATCTATATAAATGTATTTTTTCCTCCCGGCCCAATGAAGCATCTCGCTGCGGCCTGCATGCCTAAATTCCTGTGCAAAGCCGTCAGGGCATTGCAAAATCGGCACCGACTTCTGTGCCATAGTCAGTCATGACCATGGTGCGGCACCGCTGCAAAAATCCTTCCTCGGGCTCTGTTGCCTCGGAAGCAACCTCAGTGAGGTCAAAAGCTTCCAAAAAGGCTTTCGCAAAACAGCGGCATAAAGCAGGAGCGTATTCTTTCAGCGCCGTTGTGCGCCATACGCCCTGTTCTGTACGGCCGATTGCAACTGCCGACGGCAGTTCTGTGCGTACTCTGCCTTGATGTAAATGGTACATCATTCTCGGCAAATTAACTGTCAGCAGTGAAGTTGGTTTTGGTGTGCTGGATCCAAGCAACCCCTGGGCGAATTTCAAGCACTGCACTTGGGGCAAAGCCAAGATCGCCTTGATGATCGCCGTGCGCCAAATAGAAGCTGCCTCAGGGTGCAAAGGCTCCGCAGGGTGCTCCATGATAGCGAATCCATCCACCGCAATGAGCTCGATGATGCACAAAATGGAGAAAAATAGAAGATCATTTCCTATACAAAGCTTTTGAAGTTCACGCAATGAAACACATGGTAGCCCCCAAAGTTCAGCGATGGTGCGCAGCACCCGTGGGCCCTTCCAAGACTGAGCCAATGGCGGAGCTTCTTCGGTTTCAACTTGCTTCCCCCGAGCTTGTGACCAAGTCTCACATGGGGGGCCACCGATGAAGGCAATCACGTGTTTCATTCTGATTGCGCTCCACCAAAACTCGCAAGAATCCATGTTAGTGGCATCTCCCCATTCACGGTTGACAATCACATCCATGGAAACCACGTAGAGCGTGTACTCCGCATGGGCAGATTGGAGGAGGTCCATGTAATACTGCACGTCCCCTCTCCGCCTTCTCCCCGAAAATGCGTGCAAGACAACTCTGTGTCTCCCAAAAATTCTTGGTACTGCTACCACACAGTCGGGATGCTCTGTGATGTGCTCCTCAATGGCTCCGCACTTGGCTTCCAGTTGTTCCAGAGTAGGAAGGCTTGTAACAGTCTTCCGATGATGTTGCAGGAAAGGCCATGTGCAAGGTTCCAAGAGGTCCGCACAAATGATCTTCAGCTCATGGAGTTCAATACCAAAAAATTCTGCATCATTCTGGTCAAAGTTGATGACAAAGAAGTGCAAAGTGCTCGTAAACCTTGTCCATGAAATGGCAAGTTCTGATGCCTTTGCCCTGATACTCTCTCCAAAATCAGATAGTGGAGCGCGCTTCTCCAAAATCTCGATAAGGAAGTCATACAACTCGTCATCAATGTCGATGAAGTCCCTGTGTGGTCTGGCCTGCGCACAAGGGCCTTGACCACGGAGAGGAGGTAGGAGTCGATCATGTTCAATGGTTCGGAGGTTATCCTCCTTCGAGCCTACTCCAGGTGTGAGACTACATTGCAAACCACGAGCACGGAGTTGATTCCTGCAGTTCTCACTGTAATACAGATGTGCTTTCAGCTTGCTCATCGTGTGATAATGCTTGAGACACGCTGGGCAAGTGGGTTCATCAAAGAGTGGTCTAAGGCCAGATGGCTGACCATGTCTCTTATACATGTGAGCTGCTTCTCCTGCTCTATTGACACAACGTAGGCCGCATCCAATACATCCAAAATATCCAGAAACGACACTGCTCTGCGGGTCGTTGTCCAGCTCTTTCAGATCATGGTCGATCAGGGCCTGAATCTTCTCAATTGCCTGTTGATGTGCTCGTCTTGCCCTGTAGGCCTTTGCTCTCTGCAGTGTGTCATGCATGCAGGCTCTTCGGACAAGTCTTTTCCAATAGCCAGGACTGTGTCGTGCAACATTGCACCATTGCTGGAAATCTTCACGCGGATCACGCAGACTAGAGGTATGATAGATCTGTTCCCACATCCAGATGAAGTCTTGTTCCAGCAGCCCAGTCCACTCCAGGTCATGTGCTAACAAAGCCCAGATATCGTTCTGTTGCATCTGGAGAAGTGTGCAAAAATACCTGAGTCTGGCTCTACGGAGAAGAACTACTGGATGCGGCATTTTCAGTCGGTCAATGATTTCATCGTCCATGATCTGCTCATCCTTTTTGATCTTCAGGAGTCTGCGGTATAGCTTGAAGACTGTCGCTTGGAATTTGGCCATTGTGCGAGCGTCAAAGGCTATCCATGTGTCCGCGCCGTACAGAAACTTGCTCAAGACCAGCATCTCAAACAACTCACTCCTCTTTGTGAGATCAATCTGGTCATTGTGGAAGATCACTTTGCGATGTTGGTTGAAGCTTTGGTGTGCAATGCCTGTACGGCGCTTGATTTCTGTGTGCTGATCGCTTGTATGATGCATTTGACCGCCCAAGTGGCGGTAGGCCGTCACGAGTTGAACTTGATGAAGACCATGTTCACAAAGGACCGGTAGAGTCCCTGATGACATCGGGCCATAGTGCTCAACCTTGGCTCTACGCGAGCCCTGGCCACGAAAGGTCATCATGATCTCAGTCTTCCCTTTGGCCAGGTTTGGCGTCATGCAATGGTAATGACAAAGGTCAAGCAATTGCCCTGTCACTTGACCCGTGATTGATGTCAAAGCCCCAGAGCTGTCTGTTTGCAGGCACACCGCGAGATCGTCCATCCACGTGGGCCCAAGGAAATTGTTCCATGTGCCTGTGCCACTGCTGAGTTTGAACAGCGGGGGTTCATCATGATCTTCAAATCGTGCGATGACCTGATTCTCTACCATATAGGCCTCCAGTTTTTGAAGAACGCAGGACCATGCAAAACCAAAGATGAAGTCCGCAAAACAATCACCAGGTCGCGTGCCTGCCCTTGTGCGTACAAAGTCAGCTTGATGGCGCAGCCAGAAATGTGTGCTGGCATGTATGGCTCGCACACAACGACAATCCATTTCTCCCATGCCTGCTTGTTCAATGGCTGGCTGCTCCGCCAATAGTTCATCAAGTTGATGCAAAGCGTCCTGAGGCAGCCGGAGCTTGTTCACAATGTGCGCGATAAGCTCATCAGATGGATCACCACCAATGGGCACTTCACGGATGATCCTGTAAAATGCTTCTGTCAAATCAAGATAAATGATGCTAACAGAACGTCCCTTGTGCTTTGCCTGGCGGGCAAATGCTCTCACTTGATGCACGGCTAATTGCACAGGGGTCTTTCTTCGGCCTCCTTTCTGTTGCATTTGCAAGAACTTCTCGTATAGGGGAGCATGCTTTTGGCGAATTGCCCTGTGCATCGCTTTCCCTGTATGGTTCGACACTAAGATCGATCTGTATGAGGAGCACAGGTCAGCTGGTCCTCTCCCTTTGTAAACTGGTGCAACTATGCCACCCTTGGAGGACAAGTCTTCTTGTCCATGTGTGACCATGAGCACAAGTTGCTGATACAGGATCTTTGCTATGCTGTTGGCAAAGTGGTGGCAGATTTCACCAGGGATGCCATCTGGTCCACATGCACGACCACGTGGAACCCTGCGTAGTGCAACTTCAAGATCCGTCAGGGAAGGTAAGTCGCTAAGCTGAACGCTGATGTCATCTTGCGCAAACATGTGTAGTTCCTGGATCCATTTGTTGCGTAAGCTGGAACTTGACATCCTTTCCCCAGCTTCCATGTCCTTGAAGTAGTTGATCCAGACAGCCAAAGCTTCACTCGGCAAACTGCATGTCTGTCCGTGGGTGTCACGGACAATAGGCAAGCATTTTCTTTTCTGCTTCTTTGGATTTGTCGGTCCTGTGAAGCTTCTCAACGCTCGCAGGACTTGAGATGATGGAGTAGAGGCATCAATGGCTTGCAACGTCTTGTCCAGCTCTTTCTGCTTGGCACCCTTCAACGCAGTCTTGAGCTTTCCACAACTCTCTTTGTACTTGACAAAGTTGTTCAGATCACGGCACAGCAAAGATGTCTCATAAACAGAGACTTGATGTTCGTGGCATTCTCTTTCACCACTACTCCAGGCGCTGAAGCATTTTCTGAGAAAGTACAAGTGCTTGAAGTTCCTGTGACGTTTCATTTGTTTGCGGCTCTGGAGTTTGATGGTCCTCAACTGCCAAATCTCTTCTGAAACATACGGCTTCTTTGCCTGAGACGATGCTTCATGTGCAGGGCATTGGGTCAAAGCAGCATGGATGTGTTGAGCAGCATGTTGTGTGTGGGCCTCCACATCAGACTGC